TAAAAAAAACTAACAATAAACATCAATTTTTTTTTAGTACAGGGACCTTCCGATTTCCAGATCCACAGGGGAACCGACTAATCCGGAATCGAGCCGGGTAGGACCACAAGGGCGGCAAAGTTCTCCCTCAAGAGTTTTAACACTGCTGCATTCTCAGGGCTCGAACTCGAGACCACTGGTCAAGCTAGAAGAGACCCAAGTCATCTCAACCAAGCGCTTTTTTAACTCATGGTTTAACCAACCTATGTTCGTCTAGTAATCCCTCTTGCCCTGGACTCTATTGGCCCGTTGGCCCATTGATGGCTTCACCTTCAATGCCACAACCTCCATGGCTGAGTAAATCTAATTAAAAATCACACAAGATTGCATACATCCACTTGAGATTTTCTCCACCGGCAGACACGACAAGGACGACCGCACCTCTCGAGTAATCAAAAATTCCATCTCTGTGCCCGACCTCTGATAGATCTGAAACATCGGCTTTTTAGTATGATTAACGATGAGGGCGAAAAAGAAGATATTTCACCGCAGAAGAGGGGGTCGATGAAGTAAGTGGGACTTGAGTTTGAAAGAAAGTTGCCATGAATAGTGAAGATTTTCGTGGGTGCGATGATCACAGAAAGTTGAGGCAGGTTGGTGTTGATGAAGGAAAATTGCCAGAGATGAAATTGATATGCGTTATAAATAAATAAACCTGGCTTATGAAAGATGGATAATTAATTAGGCTAAATATGGAATTAAGAATATATGGTCGGACAGTCCCGCTCCTGCCCACGGTAAGCAGTGCCCACTAGTTTGTTTTATATGAAAAACGTATTTTTAGAATACGTTTTTCAATTAAATTTTTTTTTGAAAAACATATTCTCAAAATACGTTTTTCATATAAAACAAACTAATGAGCACTGCCCACTGTGAGCGCAGGGAATATATTTATATGGTCGGAATAAGGAAAAATATATCGTCTTTGGGGAAAGAAACCTGACTAGAGTTAATTTTCTCAATTGAGAAAATTCGGATTAGAATAGTCTGCTGTATTATCTTCTGTACCAATTTTATTTGATACGAATCAAATAAATCTCTTGGCCAGACGAGAGTTTTAACAGCAGCAGATTTTTCTTCGTCCAAATGCCGATCGTAAATCTCTTCCCATCTCGGATTTTCGATCGCAAAAATCCCTCCGCCCTCACGCAATAATTCGCCCAAGTCCCAGACCTTCTCTTCGTTACTTTCCGATTAGCAGCAGAAGTTAAGAGAGCAGCAAAAGCATCGTAACAAAACCCTCCCTCGCAACCCACTGCCATCATCGCCATGAATCCGTCGCAGAACCCTCCTCCGAGAAGCCCACGGAGGTCGGCCCGTTCACGCGAGGAGCAGTTCCATGCACAGCGGCTTCAGCCATTCTCCTTCAGCCGTTCTCCACGTCAAGCAAGCAGTTGCGTTTCCTTGTTCAATCGCGAGCTGCCGATCCTGCCGGAGAAGAGGACCTTACGCCAAGAAGCCATGGTGGTTGGGGCAGTTCACGACGAAAACCACTCTCAGCCTGTCGCCGTTCTCATCTTACATCGTCGAAACCAGCCCCTGTTCGCTGACGGAGACGAGCAGCAGCAGCTGCCACTCGACCGATCCAGACGCTTCAGTCCATTGCACGCTCAACGCCGGGAGTCCGAGTTTTGCCGAGCGCGTGGCCGAGCCATCTGAAAATCGAGCAGCGGCCTTCGTCGAGCGGCAGTCTGCCTAGAAGAAGCTGCTAGCAGCTGCACTTTGAGAGGTTCAGCCCACGCGTAATGAAACCGGAATTAGCAGCCGGTTCACGTGATGTTGAGAGCAATAATCGAGCCACGTCTCCGGAGTTCCGAGCGAGCCTTACTCGTCCTCCTTTCAGCCTTTATTTTGTAGATTCCGGAAGGAGGTGAACTTCGTTTTTCCTGCTTAATTTTGTTAGAATTATTTTGAATGATTTAAAGTATGTTTAAGGTTCATGAAGTTGGAATTTATTGAGTTGAATTAAATACTTGGGTTATGAGTTATTCATGGTGATGTTGGACTCTCTTCTTGTTGTCAATTTGGCTCTGAAAATTTATAAACTTTGGCTATCTATGTAGCCGAGTTCTTTTTGCCTTGTTTTCGTTTGAGAAAATCAGATTTTAAATAGCCTAAGTTGGGACCTTTATTATTTTTGAAAATGAGATTAATTTAGCGCCTTCTCGAAGCATAGTACCTTTTAACCTCTGCCATTCTGCAATTTTCAATCAATGCGAATCTAAGCTCTCTCTCTCTCTCTCTCTCTCTCTCTCTCTCTCTCTCCCTCTCTCTCACACACACACAGACACACACAGTATCGTGCATACAGTATACATACACAGGCACATGTATATACACCAGTTTACGCAACGCTGCTAGTGCTCGTCTCGCAATTGAGGTAACAATTAGTATCCGTGGAAATCGTTGTTCGTTCGACTCGGTTAGAGTAACCTTGACTGTATAATTTCTGCAATTTTCTGTTTCAATTTACAAATAAGAAGAATTTATTTGCGATCCAAGTTGCAGCAATTAGTGGTAGGTTTATCTCGTTTGCTGTTCAGATTCGTGATAATAATTTTGCCCAGACCATCGGCCATCAGTGTGATTCGGCACTGCGTCATTTTTTTCATCGTCTTTGTTGTCATTGGATTAATTTTGGAAGTTGATATGATGATTTTGTGAAAATTGATGCACGAACCATTTAATGTTCTGTTCTTCACTTTTCCCCAAATCTGCAGTTTATTAGATTTACTGTTATGTGAAAGCGGAAATAGTAGCATAATCTCTGTTATGTTAGAAGAGCGTGTTGAATATTAGAATCCGCAGCCCAATTGCCGGGAGATGGTAAAATGCAGAAATAGTTTAAGGCTTGATTAACTTGTGTGTAAACTTTCAGAACTTTTTTATCCAATCAGAAGAACACATGGTTCAACTATGCAGTGTCCAATTGCAAATGGAGCTGGAAGAGTCATTGTTGACAATTCTCCTGGCATAGTGCAAATAATGAACTAGATCAAAATGGCTTAATAAATTTCTAGTGCTTCTTCAAAAAAAAAAATAAAATATCAAACGACGCAATGCACCTTGGTTCGCTACGGAAACAACCTCCTTGTATAATTACAAGGGTAAGACATGCGTACAACTGAACCCCAGACCCCAACCTGTTTGGGAATATATTGGGTATCTTGTTGTTGTTGTTGTTTCGTTTTTTTTTTTATTTTTTTATGTACTTTGGGATTCTATTGACCATTGAACTACTTTCTGTCGGAATTATCCAGTTTTACATTTTTGTCTTCAATTCTTGGTTTAGATTGACTATTGACCAAGTTTCCAAAATCTAACCAAGTAGATTAGTGAAATCTAAGTATACGGATGATGTATGTGTGACTAGGAGGCGGAGGTTTATGATGAGTGGTGAACTGCCTGAGGTTGTATTGTAAAAAAATGTGTTCATGTTGTTTATGATATTTTTGACAGATAATACCTGAAATTATTAGCTCTAATAATCTATATGATCTGTATGCAATGGTTATCTGTCACTAGATTCATCCAGGACCTTTTTCATTGACCTGCTGAATTGCAACTGCTACTGATTGCTTGCGGAAAGGAAAACATCAATAACTGTAGACCGAGATGGCAGAACATCAGAAGAGAGATTCTTCTTCAATCAGTTTGAAGGAGAAAAGATCGTTGCTAGGTATACTCTCATCTCTTATTGTCTATCTTTCTTTAAGAATATATGGATATTCTGCAGATTAATAAATATTATGTGACATATTAGTGCATGACTTTTTTTTTTTTTTTTAAGTTTTTCTGTTTTAGAAAGAATAAAGTAGAGGCGTGACATGTCTATAGCATTCGGATTATTGGGAAGTATGCTATCATAAAAACTCTTCTTGCGTCAGACTGTATAACTGCATTTTCTAAGTTTATGTGATTTTCATTTGAGATATAAGTTATAACTCATTCCATTCTCATTTATGCTTAATGCAGATATGGACTTTGCTTCCTTAGTTCATGGAATCAGTCTCAGTAGCTGAGGGGGATGAAATGGATTTTGATCCGACTCCTGGGCCTGGCAATAAGAAGACATTTAAGTTTGATAAAGCATAAGATAAGATTTATGAATTTTATTAGCATATTTATAATCTCATCTGTATAGAAAGTCAGCTTGATATTATAGGAACTTTAATGATATGTGAGGTGAAAATTATCATGGTATTTACTTTTTAGTTGGTATCTGGTTTTGATCTCCAAAATGCATTTTATTAAGGTTTTGTTTTTTCAAGTTAAATTATGTACTTCTTTGCTGATATTAAGTTCTTGGTGAAGTTTATTTTAAAAATAACAGCTGTATATAGGATGTGACTGTAAGTTTGTAGTGACATAGTACAACTTCTAGCTTACTGATGAGCTGCTGCTTCCAGGGATGTGGATTTTAATTTGGATGGTGATTTTGGAAAAATGTAATCTTTCAAGATGGATATGTCTGATCTGGATAGCTCCCCTCCGCTTAAAAAAGAATCCCAAGGAGAAGCCAAAAGAATCGTCATCCAGTGGAAAGGATAAAGGAAAAGTTGACCATTTTGCTTTTGCATTTGACTTTGATGAGGGAGTCCGCAGAAGCTGTCATGCTCCATTATGGCGGTCATATGACATGGAGTATCATGCATTGACATTTTACTTTCTCTATTCCCAGGTTGGACAATTTCAATTTCGAGTCATGCATAGGTTGACATTTCATATGACTTGAGTATCATGCATAGACAAAAATAAGGAAGGTACTTCTCTTAGTGGAAGTGGGTGTCAAGAAGAGGAAGGTTCCATGCGCAAGAAAGATATGGAAGTATGACTGTTTCAGAAGATTGAGTACAAAAGCCATCTCTAAATGGGACTGCAATGAATGTTGATATGGATAGCCCTGTTGGAGAAGGTGCATATCCTGAACCCATAAAAGAAACCGACCTTCTAAATTTGCAATGGATGATGATGATACTCCAGAACATTCAGCTGCTATTCATGAATCCGATAAAGCAACGAGTCATATTGATACAACAACTGCTTTTATGGTGTTACCTAAAGTGGGTCCATCTGAAAATTTGGTTTCAGCCAAACCAGTTCAGCTTGAAGATTGTACTGGAAGTGATGATGGCAAGGATATCTCATCTGATTCTCACTTTAGAAATGAGCCGACCGGAGACCCTTCATCAGAAGAACACGATGACACTAATTCTACGAGTACGAACACAACTAGTTCAAATGGAAAAGAAGATTTTGATCATGTGTCTATTAACAGTTCATCCTGTCATTACAAATATGCCATACCTGTCAACTCACACCTCCTCCATACTGTTGAGATTGCTGAGGAGAATACTGGTAAAAAGAATGAAGTTGGGGTTGAAGACCATGTGATGAACAACAGAGAAAGAGTTGCAGTAGGTAAAATCAAATCATTCATTGAGAGTTCTTGTACGCTAGTGCTGTGACAGGAATACTCGGTGACAAAACATCTACCAGGGAGAACAATTTGGAGATTTTGAAGTCAAACTCTGTCGGATAAAGATTATGCTCTCTTTCAGTTTCTCCAGTTAAGTGATTGAAAGAAAAATTCTTTCTTAGATGGAATATTCTCGTGGAAATGAAAACCATTTTGTTTTAAAAAATGAAAAAAAAAAGAAACTGATCCATGAGTTTTACCCTGTTGCAGTCAAACAGCTGACAAGTCAGAGAAAGAAACAGATGAAGGAAGAGAGCCAACTGCACCCTGCTCAAAATCTTTCATTCAGTCATAGAAACCAGTACACCGGATGTCTCAAACCAGACAACATTTGCCCCATTAAATACTAGAAAGATGTGCACCTTCAACCTAGTCTAGTTGAACAGAAAAGGTGTGTTATGTTTTGAATAATTCAATTTACTTTGTAGTAGTGTTTTGCTTGAGATAATGTTGTCTAATATGAAATAGGGAGGGCGTGGGTAGTACTCAAGGTGATACAAGAGTAGCTCCTCTCCCCTTGCAATATTCCAAACTAGTGAAAACACAGCTAAAGGAATTTCCCAAGATACAGAAGCAGGAAAGCTACGTGGCTCTCAAGGTCCCCAGGTGAGCTCAACACGTAACACAAATCTCTGTCTTATAAGGCAGAGTATGAATATTGAAGACAAGAATAGACAGTTTATTTTCAGTAGTCCGATGTGCAGTGTTGAGCGGCTAGAAAACGGGAAGAAGCTGAATGATTCTTCTAGCGCACTAGGCAAGGATACGGAAACAACTATAGAGAAGAGCATGAAAGATACGGATGCTCTTAGGTTTGTTATTCCTTTTCTACTAACGACTTGCTACTCATATTTCAGTTTGAACTATGTCGAATGATACAATGATTTTCAGAAACTTAATAATACTCAAGTGGTACTACATTCTCACATTGTGTAATTCACTTTTTATTGTGACAATTCTCTTCCACACCCTATAAAACAGAGTGCTTCATGTAAACTGTATTGGAAGTGCTTTTGACACTAAGGTTAACACTTTTTTTTCCCTTTTCTAATTGACGTTTTGAAGCTGACATTTATGTAAATACTATCTGGAATCATGTCCACTATAAGCTTGATTTTACCAGGATTAAGGATCTTTGATTAGATAAATTACCAATATGGTGGACTGATACTGTTGAAACCAGTAACCACACAAGATTTCTGAGGAACATTAATTTATTTTGTTGTTAACTTTTCAGAAGCTTGGGCTCTTCCTTCTCCTTGGAGGTGAACAAATATGCAGCACAGAAGGGTGGAAATCCAATTTCCTTAGCAGCTATTCGATTAAGTAATAAACAAATTCCTGCTGAAGGACATAATAAGCTTTTCTCGATTGAACGCGGTAGGAAGACCCCTGAACTTCCTGGCGTGAAACTCCGATGGTAAGTCCATCTTGATTATCGAGTTTTACACTTTTACTATGGTTAAGATGTAGGAGGAATTATATATTGCAATAAAGCTTTTTCTCTTCTTCGATCTTTCAAAATTTTCAGTATAAACGTTTAGTCAACAAAGTCCGCAGTTCGGAAAGATATCAATCCATTAGGAACACTGTTCAGAACATGGTTTATCAAGGAAATCAACATCTGATATAGCTCATTCACCAAACCCCCAAAAGCAAATACCTACTGCCCAATCTTCAAAGAGAAAAACACCGGAGGTCAATGAAACATAATGTGTAAGAAATTTAACGGGTATACTCATAACTATTAGGCGGAATTGAATAAACTCTAAGTATGTAATTCTATCAATTCATAGAATATGCATCTTTGCATAAATTAAATCGCACATAGAACTTACAAAAATTTAGCTTATAGTCCTTCCTTTTTTCTTGATCTACGCTTGATCTACGAACTCTTTTCCGTAATCTCCAATCATGTGTTCCTCTCTCCCGCGTCTCTCGTCCTTTCATAAAGAAAGACCTTGATGTTGAGAACTCTATTTTCATACCCGAGAGAGAGGGCATGTAGTAGTATTTATAGGAGGATACCTACAATCGTAATCCTACTAACATTCCACATGTTCTAACATCTCATTGTCCAAGTCAAACATCACAAATTGGACTCTTTGATATTAAAACATTAATAATCCATTAAATACATATTCTCCTTAATTAAGTTTGACTATTAATTCAATTAGGTCCAACTAATTATATGGTTCACATTAATAGAATAATATAAAATATTATTACCTTCTCCCACTTGGACCATATAAATGTCGAGACCCAAGGAACTACTTTAAGTGTGCACCTTTCATCATCAAACTTATGCATGAATACATATATCTACAAGTTTAAAATCAAACTTGAAATTAACCGAGTCATGACGGTCACAAATATTCGAGCGACATGTCCCTTCCATGCACCACACATCATTTCTAATTCTACTTTACTTTAATATGGAACAAACTGTTCGTACCATCCAACTTTTATGTATATACTATAAGATATTATAATGTATATGTGAAGAATCAAACATCTTTAATCAAATTCAATGAGTGTCAGACCATTAATTGAGCAATTTCATTCAGTATCGGTCAGTCTAACAAGGCCCCATTCGTTATTCCCAATTTTCTTTATATGCCATGCAAAGGCCATAGGGAATAACCCTATAATGGATCCACTTTCATGCAATTAATACTAAAATGCTCCAATGACACTTTAATCTTCACTTTTACTTTTACGAACCAATTATTTCAATTTTATGTGATTCACGCTTTTTGAATACTGGTCATTCCTTAAAACAATAGTGCTACAAAACTACAATAATTTCTTAGTGCCTTCGATAAGATGTCGACATTGCCATGTCCTAAAATAAAGCATTGTAGCCCTAAATTTTGATTTGTGGCCTCAAAGCATTTAACAAACTCAAATTTAATCGTGGAAGTCGTGGTGATGGACTTTGTTTCACTTTTCAGTAATCTTGCTCCTTTAGACATTATGAGCAAAAGTCTGAATCTAAGTATCCAATTATAACAAATAATTTGGATCTTCTTTAAATTAGCATGTGTTCTTTAGTGCCTTGTAAATACTTTATAAATTTATTTGCAACATTTAAATAATTATTTAGGATTTCTTTTATATATTTGTTTGATGTACCATCAACGAATATGTTATCAAACCTGGTACAGACTCGTCTCACGACTCCTAATCATTTATATCTAAGGATTTTTCTGCATCACTTTTCATTCCATTTCATCTTTCAGACATTTATTTTAGACTAAATATGTCCCCTTTATTGATAGTGTTTGAATATGTAAAATTTAAATGAAAATTTTAATTTTCCTTATCATTATTTATAAACATGAACTTTAAAATGAAAACTATTTTATAACGAGTGAAATTAACATACAAATTATATATTAAAGTATTATATATCATAAAATAGAAAAAAAATATTATTAATACTCAAACCTATTTTTATACTAATCAATATTCTTTCATTAGTTTAATACATGAAGTTTATAATTATTACACTGTGCATCGCACGGGCTACTAGTAAAGTCTTAAAAAAAGTTCTAATAAACAAGCCGCGGGATACTCACTAGTTCATAATAAACTGAGATGCACGCCAGGGCACAAACCATTGAGAAAATGCACGCCCTTTAGAAATAATCTCACGTTTATCTCATTGTTTTAAACATTGAGAACGATGCACGCCAGGACACAAACCAAAATATGCAGTGATACGAGTGCATAATAGAACACACTGCTGAGAGAGACACAATATTCAAGCTAGTTTACAATATATTGTGCAATTCCAAGAGAAATGGTGGCAGCATCACATACTAAAAACTACCCATTTCAACTTCCATAAACACCACTTACACACAAAAGCTACAAAATAACGAGAGCAACCATTATCACATTACGGCACGGGCCAAGCCATCCTATGGGGTGGAATATTGAAACAATACGATAAGCATGCCACGGATGACGGATCTCGTCCGGGAAGATGGCGCATTCACTCTGTAATAAAAAACAACAATATGTATTTATTAATACATTCAGAACAATAACGAAGCGAAATAATTATAGTAATAAACAATGTTGACTGTATAAACCATAAAGGTATCCACCAGCATTAATAAATTTTATGTATTGGGAATGGATGATGTGAATAGACATATATCATAATCTAACCCGGGTAAGTTGGTAACCATCTCGCCACCGTCTATTAGTCTCCTCCTCCGCAGGCAACAATGTAGCAAGCACATATTTGACATCATTCCCCAAATAGAGCTCGGCAAACATAAGGCGTATTATTTCCCTACAACCCACACCCACCATTGACTCAAAGTTCACATGCACCCAATGTGTACTCTTCTCAGTAAAGTCCACTAAACGACCAACACAAGTAAAGCTTCTTCTACCCTTCTCTTATTCGCATTTCCTGCTTGTACATCTCGATTGAGCTCCCCAAGTCAACTTTAGCAGACAAGCGTCATTAAGATGCCGCCTAATCGAGCCAAGAGCCTCTTTTTACACTTTACTTGGTGTGATTGCGTCGGTCACAAGTCAAGAGCGTTTTGAACAGGCACTGAATCCGCGACTACTCGGCCAACTGCATCCTCGGGACGTCTGTTGCATTCTGAAAGCCCTTTCAAACTTCAAGTTTGTTCTAAGTTTTATTTATTTATTATTTATTTCTAAATGAACAATAAGGAACAGGAGATATAAATTATACATGACTGGAGGCAGCTAAAAGAAAAATACAAATTTTAGAAGAGAAAACTCACGTGTTGGGCCTTCATACACTACAAGTAGGAAATGGAGAAGTAGTCCTGAAACTTCATTACATAAGAAGAGCCTCAAACAGCTCTTTCTTCACAGCCGCAGCACAAGGAGAAATCTCGACTGTGGTGGGCTGCACAAAGTTGAGTCCAACTAAAAGAAAAATTAAAATTTTAGAAGAGAAAACTCACATGTTTTGTCTTCATACGCTACAAGTAGGAAATGGAGAAGTCCTGAAACTGCATTACATAAAGAAGAGCCTCAAACAACTCTTTCTTCACAGCCACAGCAGGAGAAATCTCAATTGTGGTGGGCTGCACATAGTTACCTTGAGACTCAATAATACAACCACCAGCTAATGAGGTACAAGAATTTACACAGCAACATACAAACAGTAGCAGCAACCAACTACAGCTATGGAGCTATGGATTATTAAGTATCACGATGGAAAAAATTATGTTAGCTAACATAACCCCTCCATAACGAACAAGTAGAATCCGCCGAAAGAAAAGTCAAATGTTTCTTTATGGAAAATATCATATAGCATCACACAGAGAACATGTATAATTTTCTTCACGGGCAATATGTACTGGACTTCCTTCAAGACAATTCAAATTTAAATCAAAAAATGGAAATGTCGAGGGTGAAAAAGCTCGTGGTTTTGCAATCCATTTGAGTACATGAAAGTGGCGGTAAACAGTGGTCCCAGAAACTAAAGGAATGCAAGGATCTTTAGCTCCTAGCACTATGAATTTTAAAGAGTATCATAGTGTTTGCATAGACGGTTTGTTATGTAGAAAGAGGAGCAGAATTTTAATGTAATTACACCAACTATCTTAAGTGATTCCACCATTTGCATTCTCCCCCTTTTCAAGTATAATAGAACTTTATGATTATTGCATAGCAAAATGTGATGTTCATCCACCTCATAGAAATCTAACCTTATTTTCCATGCGTGATGTTACAAAATACACCTAATCAACCCAATAATGCTCAACTTAGGCACATTCCAAGTTCATAATCATTATATGTAAGCCAATAAAAACTCCAATTAAACCGTGAAATTTTGTGGAGCTCTAAATTTTGTTCTCAATTTTTGTCTTATATATTTTTCCCGCAAACTTTATGTCTGATTCAAAAAATGTGATAGAAAAGTCAAAAAAGAATATAGAAAAAATAAGATAGATTTGAAGTTATGTATGTACATACAATAAAAATATATGAATAAAATTAATGGTTCCTGGTTCACCATATAATAGAGGAATGTTCCTGGTTCATCATTCATGTGATACTCACCCAAATCATTATAATTATGATGATAGAATTATTTAATATAGTAATACCGAAGCTTATAGTATTTATTAATTTTGTGTTCCATATAATCTGTAAAATAATATTCATACATTGAAAGTTTGATAAAAGATGTTGAGGCACAAGTAATAGATTATTGTTATTATTGGTGGATTAGTTGTGGGCTTCAGCCCTTTTGAATCTCTAAGAAAGAAGAAGTCTTTCTGCCGCGTGTGACTATAAGACTATGCCTGGGTCGGGAAAGGTAGGAGTAAGCTGCTTAATTGCTTAACTAGATGATATAAATAATTAATCCATTTGAAATAATATGTTAGAAGTCCTGTTTTGGGAATTTCCAAATAAA